TACTTAAAAAAAATTTTTTTTAATTTTTTTTTTTTGAGAGACAGAGAGAGAGCAGAGGAGGGGCAGAGAGAGAGGGAGATATAGAATCTGAAGTAGGATCCAGGCTCTGAGCTATCAGCACAGAGCCTGACGTGGGGCTCGAGATCACAGACAGTGAGATCATGACCTGAGTCGTAGTCGGATGCTTAACTGACTGAGCCACTCAGGCGCCCCTTAAGTTTATTTGAGAGAGACAGAGAGTACAAGAGAGAGAAGGGACAAGTGGAGGAGGGGCAGAGAGGGAGAGAGAGAACCCCAAGCAGACTCTGTGCTGTGCTGAGCCCGACGTGGGGCTCAATCCCACAACCACAAGATGGTGACCTGAGCTGAAATCAAGAGTTGAAGGTTAACCGACTCTGCCACCCAGGTGCCCCGTCACTCCTAGTTTTAAAACTTTGTTATCACCTCAGAAAAACACCCTCTACCCATTAAGTAATCACTCCTGACCATCCCCATCCGTCCCCCCAGGCCCTGGCAATCACAAATCTGCTTTCCGTATCTATGGATTTCTCTATTCTGGATATGGCACATAACTGGACTTATATAGCATGTGACCTTCTGCATCTGGCTTCATTCATATTCCACTGCATGTAGATACCACTTTGGTTTTCACCAGCATGATGGGAGCTGTGGGTTTTTGCAAATGCCTGTGTCATGTTTAGAAGTTCCTTCTGTTCCTAGCTGGTTGTTTTCTTACGAGGTCTTGAATCCTGTCAAACGCTTTTCCCACATCTATTGAGATGACTAGGTGTTTTTTCTTTCCCTTTATTCTTTTAATGGAGCGTAACGTGACGGTGATGGATCTTCTTATGTTGCACCACCCTTGCATTCCTGAGAAGTCCTACCTGGTCATGATGTGTAACACACCTGTAATGAACTGTTGGATTCAGTTTGTTAGTATTTTGCTGAGTATTTTTGTGTCCGCATTCATAAGGGATACTGGTGTGGTTTTCTTTTTCCTGTGATGTCTTTGTCCGGCTTTGGTATCAGAATAATGCTGGCCTCCTAGGAGGTGTTAGGAGGTGTTTCTTCATCTTCTATTTCTTTGGAAGAGTTTGAAAAGGATTTGTGTTAATTCTTCAAACATTTGTTATTATTCATCAGACCTGTGTAACCTTGGATTGGGCAATGGTGTCTTAGCTGTAACATCGAAAGCATAGCAACCAAAGAAAAAATAAAATGGGACTCTGTCAAAAAAACACAAAACAGCGACACCTGGGTTGCTTGGTCAGTTGAGCATCTGACTCTGGATTTCAGCTCAGGTTGTGATCCTAGGATCTTGGGATCAAGCCCCGCATCAGGCTCCATGATGAGTGTGGAGCCTGCTTGAGTTTCTCTCTCTCTGCTCCTCTCCCCAGTTTGCTCTCCGCTCTCTAAATTCCCCCCCACCGCCAAAAAACCACAAAAACTTTTGTGTGAAAGGGTACCATCAAAAAATTGAAAAGACATACCAACAGAATAAAATAGTTACAAATCATATATCTGATAAGGGTCACATATCCAGAAAATATAAAGAACTCTTACAAACCAACAACAAAAAATATAATTATATAAAAATGATATAACATATATTATATAATAAATTATATTATAAAAATATAATTAGGGGAGCTTGGGTAGCTCAGTTGTTTAAGTGTCTGACTTGGCTCAGGTCATGATGTCACAGTTCGTGGGTTTGAGCCCCACATTGGGCTCTGTGCTGACATTTCAGAGCCTGGAGCCTGCTTCAGATTCTGTCTCCCTCTCTCCCTGCTCCTCCTCCAATCACACTCTGTCTCTCTCTAAGATAAATAAACATTAAAAAAAAATAACCCAATTAGAAAATGAGCAAAGGATTTAAATACAACGAAAACGAAACATTTAAAGTTGCTGAAAGTGGTTGCTTGTGGGGTGTAGAGAATGGTGAGGTGGGGTGTACAGATGGGAGGGATAAGCTGTTGTGCACGGTAAGACTTGTAGAACTACTTGGCTCTCTATACCGGTAATTCTCACCAGGCACCCCTCAGGGGACATTTGGCAATGTGAATACATTTTTGATTGTCCCATCTGAGAGATGCTATTGGCATCTAATAGGCAGAGGCCAGGGGTGCTGCCAAGCACCCTACAAAGCACAGGGCAGCCCCCAAAACAAAGAACTACCTGGCCCCGAACGTCAATAGTGTTGAGGTTAAGAAACTGTCTAAACCACTGTGGAAGCTTTGATTAAAAAACAAAGAAGCCAATAAAAGTTATTTGTGAAAAAAAAACAAATCAGAATGCCCATATTACAAAGAAAAAAAATTAAAGAAAATTCTTTTGCAGGGGTCTCTGTGCCAGCTTCACAGATGTAGTTTTCTTCACGTGCCATGTTTTGACTGTTTTAATGTGTAGCACGGCTAAGAAGGTCTACCAGAGATGTTTAGGGATCGATGAATTTACCTAAAGCCTGCGAGTTAAGATGCTAAGGTTTTTTCTTTTTTTTTTTTAAGTAAATCACCAATTCTAGTAATTGAGCTGCCAGAAGCACTGCTTAAAACAACAACAACAACAACAATAACAACACCCAAAAGCCAAGCTTTTGTGTCTCATTTCCCTATCAGGGTAATTAAACACATTCTGGGGCAGAGGTTCGTGAGGCAGCATTCTTCAAGTGTAACACAGGCTATCGATGGCTCTTTCAGAAGCAATTTAACTTTAGAGTATTATATGTTAAGTTTTTGAAAGAATTATAAACGTAAATAAACTAGAAAATTTCAGTGAAGCTGAAAGACTAATTGACCAGAATTTTCAAACTCAAATCCCCAGAAACCAAGGCTGACACCAGCACCGTGTTGTCTTTATATAGCCAGCAAGCACAATACCGGTTTTCCCACACGAATCTTGGTAACACATCGATGTGTATCTAATCTTTAAAAAACCACTTATAAATCAGTCCTAATGTTAGCCACAGGCCACAGCGAAGACTTACTTGTCATCCCTCTTGCACATGACCTGATTTGACTGCCCCGCCCGGTTCCAAATATGCTGGGACTTGTTTGCCTATCGCTCTGCAACCCCACATGTTAGAGCTCCACCCAGAGTGCAAGTAGACAGACCAGCTGGGGAAGGGCTCACTGTGTCCACGGTGCCCAGGGGGCTTGTTCATCCACTGCCCGACTCAGAACCGCAGAGATGTTCTGGACAGAATCAGGACAAAACAGAGTCCAGCTGTAAGTTTCAGATTTGGCAGCTAAGTTACTGGCAGAGTCGGGTCTAGGATCCAGTTCTGCTGACCACGGTTAGTATTCTGTCTTAAGTTGTTACATTCTGTGGCTAAATTATTAAAAACAAAAACCCCAATCGATGAAAATGTCCTTCATTAAAAAGAGACACTAAGGGGGCGCCTGGGTGGCGCAGTCGGTTAAGCGTCCGACTTCAGCCAGGTCACGATCTCGCGGTCCGTGAGTTTGACGCGTCGGCTCCTCCGGCTGATGGCTCAAGAGCCTGGAGCCTGTTTCTCGGACATTCTGTGTCTCCCCCTCTCTCTGCCCCTCCTCCGTTCATGCTCTGTCTCTCTCTGTCCCAAAAATAAAATAAAAAACGTTGAAAAAAAAATTAAAAAAAAAAAAAAAGAGACACTAAGAATTACTTCAGTATATCAGCTTTGAGCACTAAAACCTCTTCCAAGAATAGCCGTTGATACTATTTAACAGAATGAAACACAAAAGAATTCACTAATAAAATCTGGGCAGCTCATAATGTAGTGGAAAGAAGTGTTATATAGGTGGTTGTTGCAAAAGTCCTTAGAAACCCAACTGTAGTTTTATTATTTACTAAAAGAGATACTATCAAATATAAAAACACAGAAGAGAAACATAAGCTTTGGAAAAGGTAGACTTTTAATAACTGCTTTTATCACCAGGTTAAGTCATGCAGTTACAAAGTAGTTAGAAATTTCTGAAAGGATATTGTCGTTTAAAAAAAAAAAAGCTCATTCTTACATAAATAATATCTAGTACTTCATTGGGACACTACTGTTCAAAAGGCCTTGGCGAAATAACCCCCAAACAAAACACTCAACCCAAGGTTGTTTTCAGCCCACTGGTAATGAAGCTGTGTGCAGAATACAGGCCTCTAACAGAGGACACAAAGTCAGGGCGAGTCGGGGCCATTGGCACGGCTCAGAGTCGCCAGCAAGACTCCAAAGTGGGAGCCCAAGTGGTATTTTTTCTGGGACGCTCAACTTGAATTATTGTTCAATTAGACAACACAGTAGATCTTCAACAGAGAACAATTAATTAACATGATAAGGAGGTTACTGCACTCTTTGGACTATATGTCGTAATTGTGGTTAGTGAATTCTGACAGTCTTAACAAAAATAGCCTCCATCATTTGCAGTTACGAAGATAACTTAATTCTCCATCGGGCCTTTTATTTTTGCTGGACAATACATGATTGATAAGCTATAAATGATACTGTTTATGTTATAAAAATACTAGCTTTTTCATTTATTATGTTTATAGGCATTCACTGCTTGAGTCAAGGTTAGGCTTATTAAGTGATTAAAGGCAATTTTATTACAGCAGCACATACTTATTTTATTCTAAAAGAATAAAATGCATAAAGAGAAATAGCTTTTATTTTTGTTGCAATCTGTAAAATTGAGTTATTTTGCTGATGTAAAAATACCAGTAACTCACTTGAGGACCATGCCACCTTCTGAAAATGCCACACACCTGCTACTTGGATGTGTCAAAGTTACAGCACGTCTCAGACTTGTCCAGAGCTGAAGTAATAAGCAACTGACTGCTCTTGGATGACAGGTGCTTTCCTGGCCACAGCTCTGGCTGTACTGGGAAGCAGCCGCGGAGCAAGGCGGTATAGCCGGATGGAAGGGACTTTTCATTTAAAGGCAAAATACCCAAATCGCTCTCTGGCTTAGGTAATTTCTATGTTCATATTCATCAGCTTGTACATGATCCCCTAACCTTAATTTCTTTTTTCTCAAAGGGCCTGATTTGGACTGACTTGTTGAGAATGATGTCCATTATCTATAAAGTCGAGAGAGAGAGAGAGAGAGAGACAGATTCCTGTGGTTACATGTAAACTTGTGAAGGGCCTGCAGATGAAGAGGGAAGAGGGCAGTGAAGAGGTCAGCCACACTCCATCTAGGTGAAGGTCACACCGGCTTCATTGTATACTTTGAAGACTTTCTCAATGGCGTTGACATAGGCAGCCGTTCTCAGGTCTAACCCCAGGTTATACTTCATAGCCGTGCGCATGATTTGCTGAAAGGCAGGAGAAAACACGGTGAAGTGTGCATGCGGGGCACAGGCGGGCCCAGTGCGAGGAGCCTCGGCCACCACGGCAGCGCAGGACTCAGGCACAAAACCCGTCAGGAAGGACCTGTTCTCTGCAACCAAAGTACGCCACTGACTAGGCAGCAGTAAGGAGCTGCCCTTTAGATGTGAGCTGTCTCCGGCCTTTAGACACCCTGTTATCTGGAGTAAGCTCCTTGTTAGACTTGGTGATAATTTTATAAAACTCAGAATGGGGTGCTGAAAATGTGCTGGAGCTTTGTGAATATGCTTAAGGTTGTGGACCGTATACTTTAAAAGGGTGAATTTACGGTGTATCAGTTGTATTGACAACAAATTGTTATAACAAATTAACAACGAGCACCATCATCAATGGCTGCTTATGCTATTTCAACTTAAGGGTGGGTGGACAGAGTTTGAACTCAAGAAGAAATGAGGGAAACGCATCAAAGTGCGTTTAAGGTCTTGAAATAAGGAGCAAGGGGTCAAAAAACCTTTTGTTTATACCAAATTCTCCAGTGAGGTAGTTTCCTGTAGCGATAATAGAGTGGTGTACTCAACTGCAATCCAGTTTGGCTGACTGTGTGATGTCTAGCTAAAGCTAACTGCCGAACACCATTCCCGCCTAACCTGGTATTACCATTTATTTCCCAAAGCCCGGCAGACATACTGAACACCCTGAAAACACTGCCCGTCATTTAAGACTAAACAAGCATGCATTTTGCTACACACGAATGAAGAACGTGTAAACAGACTGCTGTCTTCGACCACAGCACACACAATCTGGCAGCTGAGGTGACACGGTTGAGCTGTGCTGCAGGTCACCAGCAGAAAGGCAAACAGCATTGCACACGTACCCTGGCAGAACGCTCCATAGTGTAAGCTAAGCCAGAGTGCACGATGTCTTTCTCGGATGCCCCCTGTTAGGGAAAAGACCAGAAGTTTAACAAAACCACACAAAGACACGCTTCAATTGTAAGAGCACAAGGGATTCTCAAGTCAATACACCGCCAGACAGAATTGTTTTGTCTTTTGGCAAAGATGCATTTAATTTCCATACAGTATCTTGATAGCTAAATAGTTGTGCTTTAACCCCAGTTTAGTTTTCATTGCATTTGACGGTGAACAGATACTCCTGAAATAAGATCATGGTAAAATGAACGTACACAGAAAAGTATGCACAAGAAACAGGAGGGCAAGTAGTGAGGCCAGCACTGGTCACCCATCCGATTCACAGATGCCCACAGCAACAAGTGTTCATCTCCGCTTCCCAGCTAACAGGGACACTGCACAAGGCACAGAAAGGAGTGTGGCCCCCTCCAACAGGTGCTCTGTGGCAGAAACCCGGCTGTGTACTCAGGAGTGCTCATCTCGTTCCAATGCCAATTATTTCTGTAAGTCAATTTGTATCAATGGATTCCTCTAAGTATCTAATTTGTTTTTTGGAACGCTTTCTAAAATTTTAGGACGGGGAGCCTGGGTAGCTCAGTTGGTCAAGCGTCTGACTTTTGATTTTGGCTCAGGTCACACATCTCATAGTTCCTGAGATTGAGCCCCGCATTGGGCTCTGTGCTGACAGAGTGGGGCCTGCTTGGGATTCTCTCTCTCTGTTCCTCCTCTGCTTGTGCACAGGTGCACATGTGCACTCACTCTTTCTCTCTAAATAAATAAACAAACAAATTACAATACAATTTTAGGACAATTAACTACTGCCCCATTCCAGTATGTCCTACCTAGCTATCAAACATATATCCTGCTATGCGAGATGAAAACTTAAAAGTGGATCACCACCCAAACATGTGTACTCTGATCTTCACGTAGTTGGCACTCTGTACGCCAGGAGGTGTATTTCTATATACATTTGTATCTGTTAACAAACAGCTGGGTCAAACCTTGATCTGTCCTACTAAGTTAGGAAGAAAAAACTTGTTCTACAGGTACAGTACTGCCTTTCTCTCCCTCATTCATTTACTCATCAAACATTTATGTAGTGGTTACTACGTGCCAGGCACTCTTCTAGGCACAGGGCACAAAGCAGAAAACAAATAATGAAAATTCTCTGCTCTCGTGGAGTTTATATTCTAGTCGGGGGAGGCAGCCTACACATGGACCGAAAACCGGAAGTCTGGGTGAGATCACAAAGATTCTGAATTCAGACAGAGCAGTGATTCAGGGCCAGGGGCCTTCCCATGTTAAGAGTGTGGAGAGGTGGTGAGGATCACAGAAGGCAATGTGAGGGAAAGGCAGGAAAAAAATCAGTGAGGATGTGGGGTTCTGGAAGCCAGGAGACTAGCTTCAGGGGGGACGATCACTCGTGACAGCAGGTGCTGACAGGAGAAGTAAGATGAGGGCAGAAAAGCGGTCACTGGATCTAGTGATGCTGGTGCTTGCACAAGACGAGTTGTGGCGGAGTGGCGGGCACCAGGGCATGTTTGAGCGTAGGAGAACTGGAGACGCAATGGACGCAACTCTTCAGGGTGTCTGCTGTGAGGGAAAGGGAAATGCACACGGCAAGAACAAAGTTTGGAAGAGAGCTGGGATTGAGATGCATTTTGTTTTAAGACTGCATTCGGCACGCTGATAGGAGTGACTGATGATGGAGGAGGGGGAGGATGCGCACTCGAGCAGTGCACCCGGGGAGCTGAGAATGGGCTTAGATGCAGGCACACGGAGTCGCTCTGTGACAGGAGACAGGGTGCAGGCGCCCGGAGTTGGGTGCTGGGAAGTTCTCTGACTGCTGTTTTCTCTGTGGGCAGATCCCAGGTCAGGTGCTGGAGTGCAGGGGACAGAGAAGAGGAGAACGTGTGATACAGCCAATCAGAAGAATGAGAAAGTGAAAGACCAGGAAAAAGTAGGATGACTGCCGGACAGCACCGGCTGCGCACTTAAGTTTCGTGGTCAGGATTACGGTGACAGGGCTGCAGGTGTGGAGGGAGCACGGTTGAGTTTCATGAGGGTCCGGGTGTCAGCAAGGGGTATGCTGAGCAAAACAAGCCGGAGTGACTGTAATGACGGAGTGTGGAATTCAGAGAACAGAGGACATCCCGGGGTGACGGGGGACAGTGAAAAGACGGTCAATAATGTGGGGCCTGGAAGGGCCAGAGCACGGCTGTGGAGGGGGAACTAGAGGGAAGGAGCTGGGAAAAAAACCCTGTTTTTTAAACTTACTACAAAACTCCTGCGACAAGTCATTCAGTAAGAGGTGAGACACAGGATTAAGGTCCGGAATTTGAAGCACTGAAAGGCCAATGTCCTGGCAAAGGTTATTTTCAGAGAGCACAAACAGCAAGCCATTGGGCTGCCTCCCTAACTAACTGGCTGTCCTCCTCTGCACTCCTCCTCAGGTTTCGGCCTGAGCGACAGCTGCATGCCAGGCCTGGGCTGGGACACAGGCAACCACAGGGAGGAGCAAGAAGCCCATCTAGGGGTGGTGGCCACAGCAAGGGCTGCCTGGATACGTGTGGTGGAAGGATGTGTGCGATTCCGGCCCACAGCGGGATCCTCAGGGGCGGGCTACCTGAGCAGGGAGCGGGTCAGGGCACCGCAGACAGAGGGACCGCAGCTAACAGAGACATGGTCCGGGAAAGATGAAGGTTCATTTAGGGGAATGGTTAATACCCTGAGTGGCAAAAGCATCTTTTCTTCTGCAAAACAAAACCTTAACCTCCCCTGCTCCCCATGTTGTAATATAATCTTACATTACTTTCCATGACTGAATATTTCAGAAGATATATTACAACTTAGCCATTTCCCTGCCATGTATATGTAGACTATTAAACCTAATTAAAAAACCTGACTGCAAACACCGTTCCAACGACATCATCTTGCATGGAGCCATTTCTCTCCCTTAGAATTATTTCCTTAGGATAAATTTGCAGGGGGGATGTTAGGATAGTGTCAACAGGCAGGAAAACTGTAATAGCTCTTCAAATTTCTAAAGAGCTGCACCAATCTGCTTGTCATCAAAATAAAGGTACAACTGTTTCGCTACAGACATGGTGAGTCATGATCGATTGTTTTTGCTAGTTTAATACATTAAAGAAACCTTATTTTAATTTGTATTTCTTTAACAATGAGATTGAACACTTTCCTTTCTAGGCCTATTTCCTATGACTTTTCTCTTTTTTTAATGTTTTACTTTTATTTTAGAGAGAGAGAGGGAGAGAAAGAAGAAGAAGGAGGAGAAGGGAGAGGAGGGGGAGGAGGAGGAGGCGGAGGGAGACACAGAATCCGAAGCAGGTTCCAGGCTGTCAGCACAGAGCCTGACATGGGCCTCGAACTGACAAACTGTGAGATCATGACCTGATCCGAAGTCAGACGCTTCACCGACTGAGACACCCAGGCGCCCCTGACTCTGCTTTTCAAGTCTCTGGCATTTACTGGGGAAGTTCCCTTCATGGCGTGTGAGCACTACCATTCAGTCCCGTCAACAGCTAATTCACACACACCTGCTTTCTTTCACTCTTATTCATGCCCACATAGCAATTTCAATTCTTCATATAGTTCAATTTAATGTTTACTTTGTTTTTATTTTAAGGATTTTCTTTTTTTTTTTAGAAGTTCATTTAATTATTTATTTTTAAGTAATCTCTACACCTAACGTGGGGCTCAGAGATCAAGAGTCCCATGTTCTTCTGACTGAGCCAGACAGGCGCCCCTAATGTTTACTTCTCTATTCTATTTCTCTGGAGCTGAAGAGATACATAGTAATTCTGCACAATTAGGTTAGAACCACCTGTTGAGTCATCTGTATTGCACAAGGATCAAGATTGGAAGAACCATTAAATATATTTATTTTAAACTAAATTTCTTACTCCACATTTGGAATGCAGCGAGAGAGGAGTGTACAAAGCACACACAGAGCCTATCATCACTGTCATATTGCTGACCACCCATAACCCCAATCAACTGGCCTGGGTCTAAAGTAAGAGCTGGCTGGGTGTGGAAAGTGTAATCCTGTCACAGCACACTCACCGATATCCTGTCTTGGAACTCTGCCGTGGGCACAACAGGAATAGTTCCACCATGCTTTCCAAATTTTCTTTCCAAACTTTCTTGAACAGACACTATAAAAAACCAAGAGATGAAGTTAAGACATTGCTAGTAGGAAAAAAAAAACAAAACTGAAGTATAACCAAAAGTAGTCTCAAACTATATCCACAACCCAAAAATGAATACAGAGTTTAGAAACCTTCAACACTAATGACATAAAAGGGTTAATCATTTAAAACTCTGTTAAAAGGGAATAAAGCACTTTGCCAAATTCCTACATAAATGTGAATTTAGGTCACTGCTCTGTTTCCATAACACCCATTACCACGGTTTTTCCTTGGCTCTGTTAAAAAGAAAATGCTGAGGGAAAAAGAAACGGAAATCGATGGAACACTTCACCCAGATTCTCAGAGAGGGCTGAGTAAAGCTCGGTTGGAGGTCTTGGTCTTATTCCAGCTTGATGAGACTGGACCATTAACTCTGGAGCTACTCTCGTCAAGGAAAAACCACACTTGCATCAGAAGACTCCAAAAATTCTTGACGCTAGAAAGGCCTTTACTAGGAGCAACCAGAGACTGGAATGGATGAGTCTCACTAGGAGTTCCTGGCTTAAAAGGATACTCTTTATATTTATTAACTTATAGATGATGTTACAGAAACATTATATCACAGGGTAAACACCTGAATATAATTTTTGGTCCTAAGACTCATGAGAGAGAAGAATATGATTTTCTGTTCTGAGATTAAATTCTCTAGGATTACAAAAAGCGAACAGTCCTTTTCAAGTGTAAGCTAGTTCTAGCCTTTTAGCTGGCCCCAAAGATTGTTTTTGAACAAGGTCATCAGAACTCACTGAGCAAGTGGTAGTTAGAATCCCTTTCATATTTGAAGGTCAAACGGCCATAGCTGACGTGATTTAGATTCTTCAGCCACTCAAAGTAGGATACTGTCACTCCTCCGGCGTTCAAGTAGAGATCCTACACACAAAAATGTGACAAGGAAGACACCAAAGAAATGAGAAGATCATGGCTTTACTGAAAGCTTTCAATGAACATCAGAGATCCATTTTAACATCAAAGCAGATTAAGCTTCAAACTTCCCAAATATATCTTAGATTGTGTCAGGAATTTCACACTCAGGGGCACCTGGGTGACTCAATCAATTGAGTGTCCGACTTCGGCTCAGGTCATGATCTCACGGTTTATGAGTTCAAGCCCTGCATCGGCTCGATACTGTCAGCCTGTCAGTGCAGAGTCCACTTCGGACCCTCTGTCCCCCACTCTCTGCCTCTCCCCCGCTTGCACTCTCCCCAAAATAAATAAATATATATAAAAAAAAAAAAGGAATTT